AGCGCCACTGTGGTAACATGAACTTTCCCAAAAAAACCTGTATAAACTTGCATAATGGGTTTCTCGGTGCCCTGATCACGAATGTAACAACTTCATTTATGGGCCCGCCTTTTCTGTGCCCATTTTGGCCTGCCCAATTTCGGCCGCTCACCTCAGTTTCGCCAAAATTGCATCAGAACATGCATGGGGTGGGGGTTCGAATGCGCTTATCCACAAAATTTGCGCCAGTCCTTAGCAGAGTGATCGTGCTGAGTTCTATTAGCGCTCGCGCCAGAAAAAATGGACGTCACTTCGTAATTAGGGCGATGCTCAAGCGACCCGACCGTACTAACAGCCCTCAATTAATTATGTGTGTCTTAGTGTTTACGGTTGTGGAGATAATTGTGGGAACTACATGGCTTAAGGTTACCTGTAAGTTGGCGCGCGAGCCCCGCCTGTAATAGCCTCGCCGTAGCTTCTGACGGCGCTGACCCTATTAATTACCTAGAGTGCTGCTAACCTGCTGGACCTCTCCAAGACGGCTGCTTTTACAAGGGACACAAGGAGATAAATCGAATGCGACTGATCAACAGAGATTGGAGATTACCAAGCGGGGCCTATTCGAGAACAGGTGGAGCCAATCTGCAGGAGGATGGCTTGATATGAACCCGTAAGACTAGATGATTCTTGAGGCGTAAAAAGATTTCTTGATTGGTTCTATGTGAAATGTTCAAGTGTTAATAATTATAATAATAATATTACTGGGTTGACCCATGAGTGATGATGTTTTTTTACTCACGTAATTTATATAAGGAGAATGACATTTTCTTCCAATGAGTTCCGCATTGTTCGAATAGATAATGCTCTATAAGGTAGCATGATGTCTTCTTACTATTTCTCGAACTGTGCCAATTTTTATTCGACTGAAAGGGAAATTCGGGCCGACACAGAAGTGAGTTTTCGACAACTACTTTTTGAACTTTATCTCGGCTTTAAAACCGCAGAAGAAGCGCAAAACTTGTAATACGTATAAGAAAGATGCCCTATGGCAGCTTGAAGTTAATTCAAGCGACTAATAGGTGGGAATTCGGACCTTGCAAATGTACAACGCATGGGGGGCGGCCTCCTCGAGAGCGACGGCCTGCACCAACCATCCTACTAATAATCCAAACTATACGCATCAACGAGGGCTCGCGTATGATGATGTTGAGGAAACATTCCATGACCTAAAACGATTCCCCAGCGCTGGTATGAGTCTCCATGAATAAGGTTATCCAGTAAGCACTCAGTTGAACTCAATAGCATTCAGCGTCGATGCCTCCATCTGTGCAGGTCCATATTGGAAATCCTTCAAATCGCTTGAACTGTTCATAATTCATTCCTATAGGCAGCAACCAGCCTCTGAGTCATATACTTAGCTTCCGGGTCTGTGCGGCTTAAGCTTTTTGATCAGAAGTAAAATGGTGAGGCTGTCGAAAATGATAAATTTTGTCGACGTGACCCTCCAGTTTGAGCATTAAAATATTAGTGGAAAGAGACAGTCTAAGGAAACTAAAAAACTATCATGTAGGGCAAGGAATTCTCTACAAATCAGGACAAAACGCCATAGCAAAAAAGTGCTTCATGTTCAGCGCAATATTTCGAGTGAGAAAAAAAACGCCATTACTATGGGCTCTCCCCTCCCTCCAATAGTCGTATAATAATAATAATAATAATAATAATAATAATAATAATAATAGATAATAATAATAATAATAATAATTATTATTATTATTATTATTATTATTATTATTATTATTGTTATTATTATTATTACTATTAATATAATTATAATATTAGAATGTAATAAAGTATAATAATGAAATAGTTCATTCAAACGTTCAACCCGATATTGTATTAGTTATGTAGAACGGCCCCGAGGTCAGCAGTCGCCTCACGCAACTTAATGAGGTCACACCCCAGGCGATCATTGAAAGGGCAAGATCCGCTCCGCCTCATCCTACAGTAACTTACCATAAACCTGCCCAAAACAACATCTGCCATACCCTAGTGTTTGGAGCCAGCACCGATGGCACGGGCGCCAAACAGTTAGGACCAAGCGGTTATAACACTAGGTTCAAAAAATTAGCCGGCGCCTATGGCACAAGAGCCAAGCGGATGTAATATTTGGTGTGTGTTGCGATCAGCACATCACGGAGACAAGTGTGCACCCATTCTACTCTTGCGAAGTGCTTTGGCGCCGGCGGTAGACAGGGGCCAAGCGCACAAGATATTCGTATGCACGCAGTGAGACCACCCTAGTTGATCTGGCGATCTGCTGTATCTTTTGTCCGACTCTTGGCCCTTGCCTTCGGCTCAGACTGTATGTGCTGTAATGATCACGTGAATGTTAACTACTATAAAGACATGCAGCAATCACGTGAACAAGCGGCTATGGTGAGCGCAGAGCCGCCTCTGCGCCGCGAGCTCACGTGATTTATGTATGCTCTGCAAACAAAGAACACGTGACCTTTCCACAAACCAGGCTGCGAGTTTATAAAGATTCGGTTGGAAAAAAAAGTAGGTGCGCACCAAATTGGCCCTCCAAAATGCATCGACGGCGCCATGGCTATGGATATGAATGTTACATTCGTAATTCATGCGCACCCGAGAAACCCCATTATGCAAGTTTATACAGGTTTTTTGAAAGGTCGTGTCGCCACAGTGGCGCTAGTGGCGCCAAATGTAGCACCTAATGGCGCCAAACGGTCGCCCACGGCCTAAGAAATTGAATGCCATTTCTGTGGACAGATTCACCTGAGTTAGCCCCAGTTGAGCATGTTTTTATATTAAAACGTTTGTTGAAATAAGTGTGGCTGCTTGAGTGCCTCAAGTGGCGCAAAATGGTGTAGGCGCAAAATCCCGATGTTCGTAGGAATTATGAGCATACCATCGGATACAGCTCGGCGAGCTGATTCTAACCATATATGGGTATCCATACAAAAAGTCAACAGGAACAGCTCTATAACGAAAAAACGAAAAAAACGCGGATCGGCGTTTTTTTCGTAATTTTTTGAACACTTACTGTGGGTACTGTAAGATGTATTGCAACACCTTACCTCAACATGCCACCTTACGTTCCCCAAAAGCAGCGCAGCTGAAAATGTAACCCCCAAACACGTCTTGCGGTCAGGACACGGTATCGTTGTGCGAAACCCAAGGGGGAGCGTACTTGACCGCTGGGGAAGGGGGAGGGGGGAGGTCGTAAACGCATCGTCGGGTGAGCATCAAAAAAACAATAGTTTCATTGCTAAGTCTGATGGAACGGAAGGAAAGCTGCAGAGGTTCGGCTGTAAAAACGTCTACAAAATATTAAAACAATTGATTAGCAACATGATGGTTAGCATGAATTTCGTAAGTACGTAGATGACTAAATAACATATCTCAAGCATGAGAATGTATTAGGTTGGCGGGAAAGTTCTGTCATACTTTTTTGAACCCAAGTATTCGCCTATTACCTGAAGAGGGCTAACCGGTAATGTGAGCATTTATACATTAAGGATTGATCTTTCTATTAGTGTCACTGGCTCGGCTCCTGCTCATCCTTATTCTGCATTATGGACAAGAATGTTATCCGCTACCTTCAGCACCGACCCCTTCAAGCGCTTCCTTAAACTATTTCTTCTACCACCCTGGCGCCAGCATGGCAGCTGTCGACGCCGAAATAATGGAGCTGCACAAGGACAATGTCTGCAGTCATCAGACAATCTTCCACGACGCTAGCTCTTCAGAGCGGGAGCCTACGGTTCGAATGACGAAGTGAGGTTCGGGAGTACCTGTCAACTCAGCTCTAGATAGCGGTGGGTCGGGAAACTAACTGAATGCAAAAAGCTGCCTCCTCGGTCAATCCGTACGCAAGGCAGCTACGAGATCTGAAGCGAATCGTCAAGCAGAGGGCAAAATCCATCGGCACAGTCCGTCTTCAACGTGCTGGTGCAGCACACCCCGTCAAAAAAGTTCGAGCCGTACTTCATGCAATAGAGCTGGATGGCTCTCCCCTTGCACCGGTGTAGTCCAGACATTGCTCTTTCTGACTGCTAGTCGCCTCCCGTATTCAACCGTTATACAGCCGAGAAAACCTCCACGACTTGAGCCCAAGTCAAAGTTGAGATGATGTCCAACTTTGCCTCGCGCCGGCCGTGCGATTGCTTAAAGCGCATGGCCATCCACGAACTGTCCAAAACTGGCAAGGATCGCTCAATAAATATTGCTGTATAATCTTTGATCTTGTACGCCTCTCTGTAAAAAGAAAGTCTAATTTGAAAAAAAGTTTTGACAGAAATTTCCCGGCCAACCATCTAAAATTACTTCTACTAGAGCTGAACTTTTAGGGAAGCTGTGGGGGGAGCTCGTTCGGGAACAGGGAAATATTGGGCGTCTCTGCTAAACTATGTTTCGGACAAAAAATCTGAAGCAAAAGCATTCTTGCTCTGAAGCAAAAATACCCCCTAAACACAACTGACCGTAACCCATCCGAACTATTTTACAAACGGGCAAAGACCAATGTTGCGAGTGGGTAGACAACGTAACAATAGAGAAACGACGTGTAAATTTTGCCTTCTGCTTCCCAAAAGTCCCACTGAGGAAGTGTTCAAGCTCGGGAATCGTACCGCGATTCGCCTCTCGTCAACAGTCAGCGCTCCACCGCTATTTTGCGCTCGGTTCACAGCGCGGGCCCTCGCAAGGGGCTAATATCGTTCTTCGGGTGATTTATGCGCAGAACTGGGTTAAGCTTCAGCTTTTCACAGTAGATCCATATTTAAGTAGCGTGAGATGCAGTCTTCTTTCAAGAACCATGGGAGAAGTTAGCCCACACAAAACGTCAGGAAAATCTCAACACGTTCAACATGGTTGCGTGACGTCATTCACACGTCATCTACCTCTTCACAGGTAATTTTCTGAACCGCGTACTCATGCTACGTTAATCCCCTTTCACTTTTAAATGTTCTAGGTTTTCTTCAATAGTGTAAAAGAGTGCTAACCAGTAGAAGAGTGCATTCTGATAGCTGGTGCTTGAATCGATCAGATAGCCGGCGAACTGCTGGAACCTCGTGACGAAAGTGACACCGGGCAGATCAGTGATGAGATCTTGGGTAGCACGAGCTGTTCTGTCGCCAATAATTCCATGGAATAATTGTGCTAGCGTTAACGTCAATACTAACGTCGCTAACCGCATAGCTACGAATGGCGCCAGGCGTTATCGTATCGCTCCGACCAATGGTCGTAAACTGATTGAATCGTAAAACAGTTGCTCCATTTTGATGGACCCAAAAGCTTCTTGAAACACACTTTGGCAAGTGCTGTTAATCAATAATTGCTTGTAATTGAAAGAGGTTGCTCATAAGGCTGGATTTGGAGAAATTCATGCCCAGTTGGATCGTTGAAGGTGCAGTTCGGCTTGGTGGGGGACACATCATTGGTCCCTATGGATCCTGCTTATGCCTTATGCGGAGACCTGCAAATTCCTGTAAAGCTATGCAAGAGCATGAGCTTCGTACCAAATTTGACAAGAGTCTACAGGTCTTACCGAAGTGGGACGTGTAATTTGACAGGATCTAACAAAAGAAAATGGCGCCAATGCAAGTTGCCACGCCCCCCCCCCTCCTGCGAATAAGCCGATCGCCCCTTTAAATATCAGAAAAAAGTAATGCTGCCAAAAGGTTTGAAATAGAGACTTTCTCCTATCCGATTTTGATGGGGCCCACTCAAATAATGGCCAAGCTTTCAAAGTTTGTATCAGCACTATTTCGGTATACGTCTTTTTCATTCTGACTTACAACCAAGCAGCATACCAGCATCCGTATCAGTGCTTTAAGGCAGTGAGCTGAACTCCTACCTCTAGGGGTGTGCGAGGTTACTGCCAGGTCATTCATTGGTGGAAGGACTGCGAGAGAGCAACTGGTCACACACACCCCCACTCACCCCTTCTACCAGTGACGTGTACAGTAACCGCTCGCCCCCCCGCCAGCCATCTGCTCCACTAAAAGCAGGAGGCGAGCCATGGCAGTAAGGCGGCGTTTATACTTTGCTGGCATGTGTGTAGGCCAGCAGCTTGCAGCGACGGGCTAGAGAGGGGCTAGAGAGTATTGAAGGTAGGAGAGTATTTTGTACTCTCCTACTTTCAATACTCTCTAGCCCCCGCTAGCGCTTGCAGCGACGGGGCTAGGGGAGGGGATAGGAGTACTTGAAGGTTACGCGTAGAGTATTTTTTACTTCTCCTAGTTTCAAATACCTCTTAGCCCTGTCTAGCCCGTCGCCTGCAAGCGCATAGCGTCGGCAGAGAGGATGTAAATAAGTAGGAGAGTACAAAATACTCTCCTACCTTCAATACTCTCTAGCCCCTCTCTAGCCCCGTCGCTGCAAGCGCTGGGAAAACGCTGGAGAAACGCTGGTGAAGCTAGATCGATAGCTATGCTTCCCGTGCCCTCGCTACGCCAGCGGCACGCTAGCGTACGCTAGCGTGCCGCTAGCGTACGCTGGTGACGCTGGGAACGCTAGATCGATATCTATCCTTTCCCCGACACTGCCGCTGGCGTACGCTGGAAGCGCTACGCTACGCTGCCGCAAAGTATAAACGCAGCCTTAGTAGTTTCTTCGGAATACATGTTGGTAGCAATTGATATCATCGCCGTCGATCGGGGCGGTGTCAGGGGTGGCTTTCTCATAACCGATCGCTATAGGTAAGAAAGTAGCTGGAAGCGGATTCATTACGCTGCTCCTGACATCCGTCGGACTGTCTGTGACGATACCAACTACACCAAGGATGACGGGGAAATGGCCCTGAGGGACAGTAGTACAGGATTGGTTCTTACTGGCAGAATCGATCGGGAAATTTGATTGAGCGGTGCTTTACCTCCACTGCGCCCAGAGTTTGAAATACCAGATGTGCTTGAAGCTCAGTTCCTTTCATTTGAACCGTTCCACCAATGCATCTACTCCCTTCTTTTTGCACCAAACTACTCCGGAGGTTTTTCTCAAGACTCTTCAGAGAGTGCATGGTTCAGGTTCAATTCCCAGCTGACGAAACCACCTTCTTCTCGAGACGTCACCAACATTCTTGACAAGTTCCATCTTTGGTTTTTATATGAACCACTGTTTCCCACACTTTGGAGCCGATCACAGCGAGACGCGTGCCGTCGCGACGCGAACCCGTGATACCTGGGCTCATAGCGTGTCGCCTGAATATGGGTGTTCAGCTACAAGATAGCAGACAAGCTAAGATTAACCCAATCTTGTGTAACAATGAAAATGAAGCCTAAACAAATACCTTTTTAGAAGACGAAGACTGCTAACAATAGCTCTCGGAAAAACGGGGGGGGGGGTGAAGGCGGTGGCCGTAACTATATAATCACGGTAGCCGGAATGAAGCCAGCAGTTGCAAGTGGAACTCGTCCAAAAACTTTCTCTTGCTTGCGAGCTGGTACAAGTCTTGAAGGAGAGGATTATTATTCAGGGCATGCTAAACCGTCTTCCTCGAACTGTGCTTCACCTATAAACCAGTTATGATAGGCAAATTTTTTTCAACTTTCTCTTCCCATGATTCAGGGATGCTTTTGAAACGAAGAACTATGCAAGTGGCAGGTACACCGCCTTAAAGCCACTTTTCCCCTGTCCTTCCGCCTTTTGAGCTTTTCAGTATTTCATGTACTTGATCTTTACTGTACAAAACCAACACGGATGCTCATGCTCACACTGGATGCTCATCCACACATTTTAACAAATCGTCGTGTTAATTTCATCATTAATGACTGTTCTTCTCTTATGGAACACGCATAACTTAGATAAGCCGGAAGCATGATTTTCAACTATAAAAGTCCCATCATAAAAAGGAAATCGGAGCGATAAGAAGTTTTGTCATCTCGAAGATCGCGTCTTGCAGTAGTCGATGAGCCGGCGCTTTCGGCAACACTATTGGGGGAAATACGGGACTGGGCTGATAATGTGAGCATGGTAAAGTCTGAATTGAGCGCCCTTGACTTGGAGAAAGGGGGAACATTTTGAAACATCGGCAGTGATCGATGGAAATCAGGAATGCCCTCACCATAGCCGAAGTCTCGTACTCCTGGCATACACGTATACCGGACATTTTTAATCAGGATGACCCTCAAAGTGCTGCAAGAGGAACGTTCTGATCAGAAAATACAATGGGATACTTCCAAGATGCCCCTGAACACGTTAGGAAGGGCAGGAAGGAGAACCATTCGGGATCTCCTCCTACTTTCCTCCAACAGCGGTCAACGGAAAATATCCAATACGGGATCTCCGAGTCTACTCCATGTTCAACGCACTGCTATATGACTACTCGGTGGATGGAATCGTCATTGACAGTTATCTTATCTACAGGCGCGCGCAGTCGAATACAGATACCGCGCAGCCGTATGAGCAGAATAACCACTCGATTCAATTCAGTAAGAATGGGGACCTTTCCACAAGCACATGTAGCTCATGGGTGCCAGGCAACGCAACTATGCCACGTCTTTGCCGGCCTGTCCTCTTCTGCCTTGTCTCAGACCCTTTGGAAGTCCCGAAACGGGTGTACACGCGACCTTCATGCAAATATTGAAGGTACCTTACACAAGAAAGGAATGATACCTACCTTGACCTGCCTTCAATTTTCTCCCTCCTAGAGGACAGAAACATCGAAGGGAATATTAAAAGTTGTGTCAGTCACTGAATAGAAACAACAGAGCCCACCCATTTGTATTTCCCATTCGTATTCAAATGTGATGTTTCACGATCTCGAAGGAATGTCAGCTGCGTGGCGCACTCCAGGAAACGCCCAGGCCCTGGCGCGAAAGCCTCTAACGGGAGACAGTTCATGCTGATGATAAAGGTGGAAACACTTAACCATTGTGCCTTGCTCAGTGGGGGCTCCTAAAGTGAATGCCCACTGCTTCAGATGGTGGGGTGAAGCTCAGACAGGAACGAAAAAGTACTAACAATAAGTAACTATATAGCGAAAAAGGCGGGAAAAACTGTTCGAAATGCCTTATATAGGACCTCCTACCAATCCCAGCTTGCACGTACTTACAGTGAAAAGTAAGTATTTTGTGCGGATCGTCACTGGCTGTCATCATAACGATATCAGCTCTTCTTCCTCATAACTTCACTCTCATCATTCGGAATGGAGAGAGTTAACAGCGGCGCAAAGCTAGTAGCCACCATGGCTTGCCAAGGTCTGATGGGTGCTCAGGGCATAGGCTTCAGCTTCGACCAGAGTTCTTGCAATTTTCCTTTTTTTACGCAGTAGTCTCTGCAATCGCCTGCTGGGTCATCTGACACAACTATAAGTTTATGGCCTTACTTTATCGTGGAACGTGCATTCAACGAAAGGAAGGCGCATCACTGAGGATGGGCATTGGATGGTTCCGCCCACACAGTTAGTGTGTACCCCGAATTTTCGTACAACAGAAGATGCCAGACAAAAAAAACAATTTATTCAAAGAATTAACTTCTAAACTGTACATTCCTAAGGTATAAATATATCCCGTGTGAAATTTGATAGCTGTGGTAAAATGTCGAACAACAGGCTCCGATACAAAAGGCACTTGTAGAGTTTCGATAAAGGCAGATGGCATGAATTAATGCAAAATATACATATCGATCGTTGAACTTGCAACGAAGGCAGATTTGAGAAGAGACATGGAGCATGGCGAAGTGAACTCTAGAAGGTTAGGCATTCATGAACGCCTCGGTTAGCGCTCGGTGTGGCCACACCAGTTGTTGGCTACCCGGGCAAACGCCCGAGTGCTCCACCTTCACACCAAATAACATCTAACACTGAGATTATCACATTTAAGTTCCAGTGACATGGCTAATACCTCGTTTTTATGAGCTTTCTACTGGGGGCGGATTGTTCGGTCTGTAACCGCCAATCGTTTAATCGATTTCTGTCCCTAGTGGGTGGTTTCTGTTCAGAGTGGGAGCTCGATCAGAACCGTACCACCACCACATCCTTTGAGCGACGTTCGTTTTCACTGGCTCCTAACGGGAACTTTTTTCGCTTCACAGGTGCATGCTTTTCGACCGGATCGCCATGCCCATCCAATTGGGACCCGCTGAAAATAGATCAATATTTTTCCTCGCGAATTTATCCTACACAGTGATATTACCGAGGATCTGACGAGCCACTTATGCGATCACCAGCGTTAGATGCAATATCCTCGGAAGTTCGTGGTGATGAAGGAGGGCTCTGCTGACTTTCCATCGGCAGATGTCGCAGCCACTCGTTTGTCTTGGCTGAAATCAGTTGTCAGTTATCGAAAGGGTGATAGAGAGGTCAATGGTTCACTGCTGCAAACGCTCGAGAGAGTCAAGGGGCTAGATTTGGCGTGGGGCCAGCACGTTCTCCGCCATTAGTTGAAGCGGTCAAGCGACGACAAGTGGAGAACGCTGTAAAACCCCCTACAGAACTAAACGCTTGGCTCGACCCGTTCTCTGTAAGGAAAACTATTATACTACCAGGAAACTACTACGGCAATAAAATAAAAAAAAGCCGAAATTTTGGCGCACTTCCGCTTAGTGGGGGCAATCAGTAGATTCATATTGGTCACTGTCGATGCCTCCTGTGCACACCTCAATTCCAGTGAAGCTATACAAAATCATTAACTTTGTTTCGTTGAGCACTTCAATGGGAGCTAGCAATGGGCGCTAGCTAAACCAAGCAGCGCCCAAATTTCTATCCCTTCTCCAAACAATCGTTTTTTAGGGATCTGCAACCCTACTGTGCTTACTAGGTGTCACATGGGTTTTCGGATTCCTCACAGCAGTGAGCGGTGTGGGTGGAGTGGTCTTCTCATGGATCTTCACCATACTAAATTGTGCTCAGGTATGTTTTCATAATCGTCACTAATGGTCACCCAAAAAAGGGGTGGGGGACTTTGTTGCAGTCACTCTAGGCACTGGGTACTAAATAATTTCACATAATAGGATTAGTTCATTTATTTCAAAGCTTCTCCCCACCCTAGCCTTGGGCACGACTTCTCAACCCCTGGCCTAACTCGTACCATTTGCACATTCGAGCCACCTTTTACACGCGTGAAAACCCTTACCTAGGATAAACAGTAGGGTTGAGACAAAGGAGGGCTCCATCCTACTATATGTATAATCCGCTAAGTTGTGTGTGTGTGTGTGTGTGTGTGTGTGTGTGTGTGTGTGTGTGTGTGTGTGTGTGTGTGTGTGTGTGTGTGTGTGTGTGTGTGTGTGTGTGTGTGTGTGTGTGTTCACGAAATTCATAGCGCCCGTTTCCCAGTAGCAGGAGATTCGGTCCAAGGTATAAAATGTAACGAACAGCTACTGGTTTAGTTATAGTAGGTTTTGCATAAGTCTTCCACCTACTTTTTTGTAAATATCTCAAAAACGAACAACAGCTTGGAGATAGAAGTATGCACCATCTACCATTTACTTCTTCAACTACTCGACGCCGCCAGCGCTCAGGCAGCTTGTCGATTCCATCCTTCCAGAACGACGGAGGCTGGGACTTGAAGAAGTCGTCGAGCGCCTTTCTGACCTGATCCTTTGTTTCGAACTTTTTTCCGTCCAGATAGCGCTGCAGGTGGCTGAACAGCCAGTAGTCAGAAGGAGCGAGGTCAGGGCTGTAGGGAGGGTGGGCGACCATCAGCCATCCGTACTTCTCCAGCTCGGCCTGGGTCGCCTTTGCAGTGTGAGGTCGGGCGTTGTCATGGTGGAAGTAGATTTCCGCATTCCTTCCACGAGTACGGTCGACGTGATCTTTCAATTTCCGCAGCTGGGTCAGG